GTGAACAACCTCAAGCCTAGATCACAATAAAAAAACGTCGAGTATGAATTTCACGATTTCTAGAAGATAAAGTAAATTTTCAAAACATTTATACTCCATCTGAGAGGTGCGTGATGGAGCTACTAATCGAAGTGCTCTAATGAAAATGTAAGCTTTATCTGAAATATTTAGGTCCTATTAAGGTATAAATAATAATTTTCAACTTATTAATAGGCGCTTAGTTCAAAGAATGGGCAACAACCTGTATGGAGTGTAATAAACCATGGTAACTCACTGAGAGATGAGCATGAATACGCAAACTAAGTGGTGAAAGATCCTCAATTATGGGCTGAAATATAGCAAGCGAAATCATACTCAATAGTCAAGTGTTAAAAAATCGATATGAAATAACTAAAAAAACAGAAGACACTTCTGGAATATTAACAAGAAGGCTAAATTAGGATCGCCCTCAAATTTTTGAGCAAAATCAGCAAACGAGCTAATTTTTCCACATATTGGGCTATTTATGGAGATACAACAAATTGATTAATCCGAGTAGCTACTTCAGACCCTCAGCAGGCGTGCGTGCAACATGCGCCATATTCGCTACTTCTGATGATAGCCAAGTTTGGAAAATATCTTTTATCTGCAAAGTAGTATGAACCCCATGCATCCCTGGTAGACTCGGGAGCAGGAAAGAACTAATAAATTGGTCTAGATAATGTAAATTCGGTCACTAGACCCAAACTTGCAGGTTGGTACCACAGAGAATATCAGTCAATAATCCAGGCAAACGATGAGAATAAGAGGGTAAGGAGTAGATAGATGGGCTAGGGCAACAAGAGAAGTGAAAATATAGCCGTCTCAGGAAAGTTGGTCAAGATGTTTACTTTATTGATATCATAGACGAATTGTATCTTGGCGCTGAGGATAGCAAGACTCACCGATTATGCCGATGAAGCGTTTAAGAATGTACTAAGTCCATAGTTCGACAATGGGAATTGTAACTACTATGGTATACGACTTCGAACAAGATGCTTCCAACTAAGTCTCTCTACCACAATACTAAGTTGCGGAAGGGCGGTCAACGCACTTGCATATAAAGAAACTGTGATACCCGAAAGAAAGCGGCTAAATAATATTACGAAATTAATCAATAAAGACTGGCCCATTTACAGTAAGGCCAGCGTGGATCAGGTTTCTGACTATTTTGCCAGGGCGGCATCTGATAATCGTCTAACGATGTAGGCAGCCAGGTCAGAGACCGAGTCTTAATTGGTGGAGCGGCTGGTGACCAGGTTTGAGGCGAGCACACAGGGAAGGCCGGGCCCGAAAAACTGGGAAAGATCGGACTTGAAGAATTAGGAGTAGGATAAATAGCATTCTGTCCTTGCGACGGCCAAATCGATTGAAATGATTGAGAGGATCGTGCTGTTTGGCTTGATGGCGCTAAGGGGAATCTGTTGTCAGACATTGGTGCCTGCAGGCTAGCGGCTATTAGCTGATTGCCATAAGATTTGATCGCTTCTGTCGCTATCATGATGGCCGCTTCCATTATTACTGATTGCTGAGTTCCTAAATTTAAAAAATATAGCCTCAGAAAATTCTAATAGGCGTATAGATTAAACTAAGAAGATGATGAGCCCAGCAGCAAAGTGAACGATTGTAGCACTAATAATCTTACTTTCGGCTACGTCACTATTATTTTGTTGACATAAGATGTTCTGGGCGGCATTACAGAAGTTCGGTCGTCTGTAATTTAAGGCATCATTTCCGTGTGATAGAGGAATGCTGGAATGGGTCTGTGGAGAACAAGATTGAATGCTGGATATAGGACAGGAAAAGGAGTTGCGCCTTTGTTGTAAAGCAAGAACCGAGGGGCGAAAAGAGTGTCGATTGGCCTCCAGGGAACCGCGATGTTCAGACACGGAGACGGTTGGAATGGGAAGTTGATGCCAATGCTGCAGCTGTGGGAGCTGGTCTGGAGGGCCGTGCTTATTTTTTATAGGAGTCAATGACCTTTGAAAATTATTGTCCGCAGACACTGAGGATAATCCAGTCTTGTTTAACTTTCCTAAAATATAGAGATAAAAACACTTGTTTGTATTATAAATCGCATTGTACAAATATTGACCCTGAAAAATTAGCTTAACATGCGAAAAAAGTACAAAATGTTAATGAATACAATTCGAATATTCCGAATTAGTAAAACGGCCCAACTTCAAAAGAAAAGGAAACTAAAGAAAAAGGAATAAGTTTAACGAAGATAAACATATAAATATACTTAGAAGATATAAATTAAAACTGAATTCCACGTCACAGTATAAATAAACTTACTCTCCGACCTCTTTCGCTTCATTTTAAGCTTTGACTTAAATTTGCGTTCCTCTTCATCATCAGAGAACTCCAGTTCCTGGAGAGAATGAATTAAAAATTAACTTACCTCTAGAGGGGGCTCTTTATCATCTTCCCATGATGCATCTGAACCTTTCATCTTTTTTAATTGATCACAGAGAACATGAATAGTGAGGCTTGAATGATCCGAAATAAAATACGGACAATCCCCAACTTTGATTTCTGGTAATTTGCTCACTATGCCAGCTCCTG